CCCAGTGGCCTAATGGATAAGGCATTGGCCTCCTAAGCCAGGGATTGTGGGTTCGAGTCCCATCTGGGGTGATTAGATTTTTGCATTGAAAACGACTTTGCCGTTCTTAAAGAACACCGAAATATGCTAACTTAATTTTACTTTTCTTAAAAATGGGAAGGATATGTGTGGTTTTCCTAGGTGATGGGCTACAGTTTGAGAGGATAAGAATACACCATTTCCTTCTACACTGCCGTAAGATTTCTGGGAAGTCAGTACTTTGAATTCTGCTATCCCCTCTAGATACCAAAACATATCTTTAGTGTTCTGTTTCAAATCAGCACCCACTCCCACCAGGCGCACTTATTCTCGAGACTCAGCGGTCAGCTAATGACGTTTTAAATGACGCAGTCAGCAAAGAACCTCTCCCTTAGCCCAGCCTTTCTCAGACCTTCTTAAGGACCAGGTGAGTCAGTTACACTCGGCTTTCGTTTGCTTCTCTCTTAACTCCTTAGGGTGCCGCTCGGCGTTTGATTATTAAGGCTCCGCAGAGACAGGAAGTGAGATATTCCACTGTTCTGCGTTCGATGGGGGGACGTAGCAGTCTGGGTCCGACCGTACCATTTAGCGGCTGGGCTGGGGGGGGAGGGAGTTGGGCGTAGGGCGCCATTGGGCAGCACGCTCCGAGGACGGGAAAATGGCGGCCTTGGGGTCCCCGGCGCGCACTTTACGAGGCCTTCTACGGGAATTGCGCTACATGAACGAGGCCACGGGCCGACCCTATCGCGACACCGCGGCCTATCGGTACCTCGTGAAGGCTTTCCGTGCACATCGGGTACGGAAGCCCGAGTCCGGTGCTCCAGCGTCGCTTCCACGGGGAGAGGGAGAGGGTGGGATCTGGGCAGGGGTAGGGAGCGTTGGGCTTCAGCGCCTGCATTTCTGTAACCGACCCTCCCACCCAGCCCTGGTTCTGGCCAAACAAGTCTAGACCCTAGGCCCTGGTCTGTGGCCCAACCCAGTAACTAAGGACCAGCAAGACAGCAAAGTTGCCCTGGGATGGAGTCGTCCCGAGGATTTCATTGGCTGGTCTTTTGCAGGTGGCAGAGGAGAAAAATCAGAGTGAAATCGAGGAGATGGGGGAAAAGAAGAGATGTACTTGATGGAGAGTGTAGAGTTACTGTCTACAGCATCTATCCATCATTCTCTTCGCCCTTCCTCTAGTAGTTACTCTGAAAACCAAATTTTGAGGCAGAAAAGAGAACTGTAATAAGATGAGGAATATTAAGAACTTGGCAGGAACTGTGTTTTACTTTTACTTACGTTGTATCTCATACCCCACTTAAGGAAATGGTGCCTTGTAGAGCTGAACTAGAAACCTGTAATGAGATTGTGTTGTCACAACATTAACGTCATATCTGACCAGGTACATTTTTTCTTTATGTAGCAGATAAATTTGAACATATGGGAGGCCATCCTTGGGAAATTCTTTTGCGAAATCCACACTCCATATTCCCCTTAGGCAAGAGCAGGTGGAAGCGGTTTTATTTTTCAAGTGGGGCAACTGAGACTCAGGGACACTGACCTGTGCAAGGACTTGTATGGGAACAACTGGAACCCTGTTCCCAGATAGGGGTCTTCCATTTAATTGTTGCCTTTGGAGTTATGGATCGGGCTTTGAAGGAATTTGAAAGCCATCTCTGAAATATACGTTGGAGAGTCACATTGGGCTGTAGGGTAGGAAGCTTACTGTCTTTTGAGCAATGTGGGGAAAAAGGAGAACCAGCATCTTGTTGAATCTTTGAGCCATGGAAGTTAGAGTGCAATATTTTAGAACTAAAATTCAAAATTTTTAAATTTATATATACATATATTTATTGAGTAAACTGCCCAACATGGGGCTGAAATTCAAAAATTTTCTTTTTTCTTAAGATTTATTTATTAGAGAGAGAGTGGGCAAGGGGCAGAGGAAGAGGGAGAGAGCAAGAATCTCAATGGACTCCATGCTAAATGTGGAGCCGCCACTGGGCTTGATCCTAGGACCCCGAGATCATGACCTGAGGTGAAAAACCAAGAGTCTAATGCCTAAGTGACTGAGCCACCCAGTCACCTCTAAAATTCAAAAATTTTTAAAAGGCCAAAATGTTAGGGATTTTAAGGAACTTGGCTAAAATTATGAATAAGATGCACCTGAGTCCTGTCTTTTAAGAAGCTTGCAGTCCAACTGAGGAGCCATACAGCAAGGCACTTAGAATAAGTGCTAAGAGAATAAACAATAGGTGATCCTTGTATAAAGAAGTAGTGGGATTTCAGGAGGAAAGTCAAGGGTCGGGCGTGGGGCAGAGAGAGAGGGAGAAGCAGACACCCCCCCCACCCCCCAGCAGGCAGCCCAGTGCAGGACTTGATCCCAGGATCCTGGAATTATGACCTGAGCTGAAGCAGAGGCTTAACTGACCGAGCCACCCAGGCGCCTTCATTCTAAGATTTTTAAGGTGACAGGATTATAGTTGTACCTTATGGAGGCAACATGATAGCCCTTGAGAGAGGCTTGGTAATGGCTCTCAAATTCCTTGGAAATACATTTGAAATTCATGCGATAAATTCCAGAAACACCATTCTGTGGAATGCATATGAGGCTATGGGGAAGGCTTTCTGTTTCTCCTGGCTCAGCGCTAACTCAGTAACCATCTATGCTCATTTTCTTTATCTTTTCAAGATTTTATTTTTTGACAGTGAGAGAGGGAACACAAGCAGGAGGAGTGGGAGAGGGGGAAGCAGGCTTCCCGCTGAGCGGGGAGCCCGATGCGGGGCTCGATCTCAGGACCCTGGGATCATGACCTGAGCCGAAGGCAGACGCTTAAGGACTGAGCCACCCAGGCACTCCTCTTTATCTTTTCTTAAACTGAAGGGGTTCATTTAGGGGGGAACCTCTGCTTTCTCCTTAGAGAAAATAGTTTTCTTTTACCCCCCTTTTTTTTAAAGATTTATTTATTTGAGAGAAAGAGACACGGCACGAGCAGGAGGGGCGGAGGGAGAGGAAGAGATCTCAAGCCGACTCCGCACAGAGCAGCACTCTGTCCCAGGACCCTGAGATCATGACCTGAGCTGAAACCGAGAGTCGGATACTCAACCGACTGAGCCACATAGGTGCCCCGAGTTTTCTTTTTCATTTGATCTCTTTTGGTCTCTAGTTATTCATTTACTGTGGATATTGTTGACCTCTCCTGACTTATGATTCAGGCACAGCTGAATCAAGATCCATATTCTCCTGTCCTACACTAATGTAGAATTCCTGTTTCAAGTCCTATCAATTGGGCTTATATAATAGGCATGGATATTACCATTTGTTGTTTGACATTGGTGTTCGTTGCTCATAAATTTTTAATTATAAAAAGTTAAATGATTAAAGCAGATGAATTTTTTTTTGAGCAGTTTGAGTGCCATTTTCACTATGTGATCTGCACATCTTTGTGTGTGTGTAATCTTCAGATCTTAAACCAGTTTCTAGTTTTCAGATTCTAACCCTACATATTCAAATAAAGAAAGGTGAAAGGGGTTTGCATAGGCACTGGTGCCCAGAGAGTAATCTGCAGTTAGATATACACAGGGGCTCCTTAAGTGACTTGAAGCATGCACACATCTGTTTCACCTTTCCTGCCCTCTGCTCACAACCTCAGAACACAAAGTAGTCAAGAAAGGACAGTGTACTAAATCTGGAAATGATGAAGAGAAAACAAGGTTTGGAGTCATTGGGGACTTCTGAATGGATAGTTTCCAGCTACTTATAGTCATCAGACTCTGGATTTTTCAGATGGATAAGTACATTGAAAGCAAGTATAATTAATATTAATATATGCATATTACTTTTATATATAAAACCTTCATTTTGTTACTGTTGAGGACAAAGCTATTATTTTTCAGACAAAATGGTTTTACTTTTCACTGAAAGACATATACAACATTAACCAAAGTCAGAAATATAAAAAGCAGACTTTCATTTGTTTGAAAGTTCTAGATTTTATTCCTTAGGCGACATTAATGATCATAGTTCCTCATCTTTGCCAGTAACCAACCACTAAAGCCTCTCTGGGCTTTGGTGTCCTCATCTGTAAAACATTTGCAAGACAAGGGAGTTGAAATGACTCTTTTTTTGGTACTAAAATCTGAGGACACTCAGTGAAACTCTTCAATGATACTCCTTGTGAAATGCCTCTTCAATTAATTGGTCAGCTTTCCCAATCACCACCAACTACAGGGTGCCTCTATGTATGTAATTAGTATATACATATGCATGTTTGTATTTCCTCTGTGCAGTTTACTTTCATTCTAGAAAATGCTTATGGAATCTGCGTGGCCCTGTATCTTAGCTGGGCTGCTAATAAACTATGTGACCTTGCTATTTTCTAGGTCACCAGTGAGAAGCTGTGCAGAGCCCAACATGAGCTTCATTTCCAAGCTGCCACCTATCTCTGCCTCCTACGCAGCATTCGAGAACACGTGGCCCTTCATCAGGAATTTCATGGCAAGGGTGAGCGCTCAGTGGAGGAGTCTGCTGGCTTAGTGGGCCTCAAGTTACCCCAGCAGCCTGGAGGGAAGGGCTGGGAGCCATGAGAATGGAGAGTCCTTGGATGCTGCCGTCAGAGAAGAATTTCATCATCGTTCAATATGTATTTATCATTAAATTTTTATTTAAGTTTAGGGTTTTTCTCTGTAATTTTATTGACTGTTTCTTAGGGAGGCTTCATCCTTTCAGTGAATTTACTGAACTTCTTGTATTAGGCTGATTGATGCTCTTGATCTACTTTTAAAACTCTTATTTTAAAAGTATACAAACTTACTGTTTTAAGTAACTCAAATGATACAGAATATAAAATAAAGGTGTCTTTTTTCTTTTCCTTTGTCCCTCCCCTATTGCATCCCCATTACCAGGTGGTAACTGTTGCTAACAGTTTGGTGTGTCTTTGCGGCTATTTCCTGTATACGGGCATAGAATTTTATATATATATACACACACACATACACGTACACTCAATATACACACTTTATTTAAAAATACACAAGTACGACGTGTTTAAGGTCCTGACAGAAAGGAGTAACAAATAGGGTTACTGAGAAGAGTTAATGAAGGGGTATAGAAAGACGTGGGCTGAATTACAGTCAACAAGTTGTAAAGCTCCTAGGGGCTAGCACCATTTTGGCGCTATGACCTCCATAGGCTGACAGAATTGACCCTTAGGCATAGGAATATGGCCACCACTCAACTGTAGGCCACAGGGACGAAGTCTAGAGAGAGGGAGATGGAATGAGCGTACTGACTTCTGCCTTCTAATCTGTCAAATTGCTCTTCCTCTTGAATTGTCTTATCAGCGTGAAAGGCTCCACCATGCACTTGGCTGACCAAGTAAACTTTGACTTCATTCTGTATTTGTCTCCTCACTCTCCGTATCTAATTTCTGCTTCTGCAACGGCTCTACTATCCTTTTCTCCCTCTCAGTCTTCATTGCCTCTCTTCTAGTTCAAGCGCTGATAATCTTTTGGCTGAACTATTAAACTAGTCTCCTCAATGGTCTCTTTGCTTCTAACATCCTCAAATAGAAATTACTGTTTCTGAGAACCATCAGCAGTTCTTTATCTGTGCCCACTTTATTGTCTGTCAGTTTCTTGTAGGCATGTCTCACTTATTTTTCCCTGGACTGCAAGCTCCTGAAGAGTAAGGACCATGTCTCATTCATGTTTGTAGTCTTCAAAGCACCTTCCACAGTGACTTTACATGTAGCATTATTCAGTATTTTGAATACATGGCTCAGTGAGTACTATTCACTAGGAGGTGTACAATCCAAACGGATCTGTTCATAAAGCAGTTCAAAACACCATCTGAGAGATTAACACGAAAACAGTATTAAAAGGTCAAACAAGCATTTATTCAATTAACGGATCAAAAAGACAGAAACACTTAACATTTTTTTCCCTTGCTTTATTTCATCAGCATGAGTATGTTATTACCTGAACATGTTTTACTTTGGTAAAATGAAAGCAAAAGGATTAGGGTAGGTTCATGTTTTTATTTCCTTTGTTGTTACAACAGTGTATATACAATAAAGATTTGAGGCAGAGTTGCCTAACCAACATAAGATATTTATTATGGGTTTGAAGTAAGAGACTTAGGTTTTAATCTGCTTTTATAATTTACCAGGTGTGCTACCTTGAGGTTAGTTGACCTGAGCTTATCCCCTCTTCTGTAAAATGGGAATGCCAACAACGTGGTTGTAATAAATACATACAATACTTGCACAGTACATAATGAATGCCTGACAAAAAGAAAATCTTATTTTAATCATTTTACCATACTCTCATTCTTTTATCATGAACCCTTCTCTTAAATTCTATTGCCACCTGTCTTCTGGATTATAGACAGGTTTTTTTGTTTTTACAGTTTAAATAATTTGCTCAGAACATTTCTATTCATATATATTCAAACCTGTGCCTCTTACTAATGGACTTACCAAAAATAATTAGCTGAACTCAGTTTTAGAAATAGAAGGAAATGATTTTGGAACATAAACTATTAAAGATAAACTTTCCATACCAGAAGTTCTGAGAACTGAGGTTTTGGCACTGTGTTAACTTACTATAGGTTTTTTTTTTTTTTAACCTATCCATTTTAGAAAGAAAGTGCACACGTGAGCAAGGGGAGGGGGGTGGGGGGAGAGAGAGAATCTCAAGCAGGCTTCACACCCAGCGGAGCCCGATGCAGGGCCTGAGACCATGACCTGAGCCAAAACCAAAAGTCAGACGCCCAACCAACTGAGCTACCCAGGCACCCGTACCATATTTTTTGATGTGGTACATGCTTTATCACATTCCTTCATTTGCTGTCTCTTTTTCCCTCTCTCTGATTTCAACTGCTTCCTCTCACTTATAGTAGCATTTAAACATGCTCAAGGCTCTTCCATCTAAAAACACTCACTCATGGGGCACCTCAGTCCCTCACACTCAGAGCAGAGTCTGCTTGAGTCTCTCTCCTTCACCCCTCCCCCTCCCCGTCATGTTCTCTCTGGAATATTTTTTTTTTTTTAAGATTTTATTTATTTGAGGGGCACCTGGGTGGCTCAGTCGTTAAGCGTCTGCCTTCAGCTCAGGGTCCTGGGATCGAGCCCCGTGTTAGGCTCCCTGCTCCGCGGGAAGCCTGCTTCTCCCTCTCCCGCTCCCCCTTCTGGTGTTCCCTCTCTCACTCTGTCTCTGTCAGATAAATAAATAAAATCTTAAAAAAAAAAGATTATTTATTTGAGAGAGGGAGAGACTGAATGGGGCGGGGCAGAGGGAGAGGGAGAAGCAGGCTCCCCGCTGAGCACAGAGCCCGATGTGGGGCTCAGTCCCGGGACTCCAGGATCATAACCCAAGCTGAAGGCAGATGGTTAATCCACTGAGCCACCCAGGTGCCCCTCTAGAATAAATCTTTTTAAATAAAAAAAAAAGAGGGGCACCTGGGTGGCTCAGTGGGTTAAGCGCCTGACTCTTGGTTTCCGCTCAGGTCACAATCTCATGAATCAGGAGATGCAGCCCCACCCCGGGCTCCGTGCTCAGCAGGGAGTCTGCTTAAGGAGTCTGTCCTTCTGCCCCTCCCCCCACTCTCAAAATAAATAAATCTTAAAAATAAATAAAAAACACTCAATCTCTTACACAAATGCCTTTACAGCTTCTACATCTTCACGAATTGAGTTATTTAATGAATTGATGAATTATACTCATTTTCTACATTTTTAAATTTTTTTGAAGTTTTTTTACTTAAGTAATCTCTTCACTCAACATGGGGCTCAAACTCACAACCCCGAGATCAAGAGTCACATGCTTCTCTGACTGAGCCAGCCAGGCGCCCCTCATTTTCTACATTTTAAAACATGATATAGGCTGGAGTGAGGTATAATTTGTGTATAATAAATATACCCATTTTAAGTGTGCGAGTCAATGAATAACGACAAGTGCATACATCTGTGTAGCAACAACCCCATTAAAGCTATAGATCATTGCCATCAGTCCCAAAAGTTGCCCTGTGCCCCCTGCAGTCAATCCCCTTCCCCACCCGTGGCCCCAGGCAACCACTGACCTGCTTGCTGTCACCATAAATTAGTTTGGCCTGCTCAGGGATTTCATCCAAAGGGAGTCCTTATAGTATGCATTCTTGAGTAGGCTTCTTTTGCTCAACATACTGATTTTGAGATTAATAATCCATGTTGCTGAATTATTTTCTGCATTTTTCACTGCCCAATCATCCTCAGTGCACTGTAGTCTGGTTTCTGCCCCTCCACTCTACCAGAACTGCTTTGCAAGGTTACAAATGAGGTCACTAAACTCAGTGGATCATTCCTTACCTTGATCTCCAGGGAGCATTTTTTGTCTTGTTTTGTTTTTTAGTAAATTCTATCCCCAATGTGGGTCCTGAACTCATGATCCCGACGAGCTCAAGCGTCCAATGCTCTACTTACTGAGCCAGTCAGGTGCCCCTCTAGGAAGCATTTGACACTACTGATGATTCTTTTCTCTTGGCTTTGATGACATCACATTCTTGTTTTCTTCTCTTGCTCTAATCATTTGTCTTCAGTTTACTCTCCTGCATGTCTCTAATATGTTGACATTCTTCAGGTTCAAATCTAGGTCGTTACCTCACACTTGATATTCTTTCCCTGGGTGAGATCATCCCTACTTCCTAGGGTTCAATTATCAACAGGCTAACTCCAGTCCAAGGCCTCCTGTAGCCCTCTATGTCCAGCTGCTTCAAAGACAACACTGCTTAGATGATTCAAAGGCATCTCAAATTCAAAGCATCCAAAATGGAACCTCATCATCCTCCCCTGTAAATCTCCTCTGTTACTGACACTTGTACTCAGTAGCTCAAACCAGAAAACAGTCATTCTTGACTGCTTCCTCCTTCATACCCTCAGTTAAATAATCACTGAATTAGATTCTACCTAAGAATCCGCTGAATCTCTCTAATACTCTAGTCCAGACCTTTTATCTCTTGCATCTCTTCCCTGAACCACATGCTTGTCCCTTGTAAATGTAGCACATAAAGCCACATATTTGGCTTCAGGGTACTTGCAAGTTGTGTAGTTAATAGCTTTGTACTGCAACTGAGCTACACTTTTGGTGGGTTTGTAGGGTTAGGGATGCAAAACGCAAAGTCTAGGACCCACCAAGGTAGGCACTCTAAGAAATCCACATCTACTTGAATCTAGAACCCTGAAGTTCACCCTCAAGGAAGAGCTGTAAGTAAAAAGTCCTTGCCAAGTTTTCAGCTCAGATTTTTGTCATTTTGGTGGTCAAGAGGAATTGAGGCCTTGAACCTGTATTACGGTGGTCCTTGACTAGTAAGGTCTTCGGTTACCTATCAGAGAAAAATAAAATCTCTGAAAGAAGATAGCATTATATACTACTTAGACTTATATTATTCCTGTATATCTCTTTTCAAATACATGGTTCAACATATAAAGATAACCAAACACACAAGAAAACAAGACTCCACAAGTGAAAACCAGCAGAAACAACAACAACAGAAACAAACTACAAAAACCTTCAGATAATTGGATTTAGCAAACTCGGATTACAAAACAATTATGTTCACTAGGGTCAAGGAATAGACAGCCTTGGAAATTTTATCAGGGAACCAAAAACTTTTTTTTTTAAGATTTTATTTATTTATTCATGAGAGGCAGGGAGAGAGAGAGGCAGAGGCAGAGGGAGAAGCAGGCTCCCCGCAGAGCAGGGAGCCCGATGCAGGACTCGATCCCAGGACCTTGGGACCACGACCTGAGCAGGAGGCAGACGCTTAACGACTGAGCCACCCAGGTGCCTCCCAATAACTATTTAAAAATGACACAGTAGACTTGAAAAAGAACCCAATAAAAATTCTAGAACTGAAAAAATAAATAATTCAATTGATGGATTTAACAGCAGACTAGATACAGCTGAAAGAAGACTAATGAACTATAAAATTTGTCAAAAAAAATGTCAAGAAGGCAGCTTGGCAAGACAAGGTAAAAAATGCAGAGAGTAAAGGGATATAGAGGATACCGTGAAAACTGTCTGAATAAACATTTACTTGGGAGTTTCAGAAGTGGGTGAATGAGAAACAAGATTTAAGAATAGCTAAACATGGGGCGCCAGGATGGCTCAGTCGGTTGACCGGCCGACTCTTGATTTCGGCTCAGATCATCATCTTGGGGTCCTGGGATCATGCCCCACATCAGGCTCTTCACTCAGTGGGGACTCTGCTTGGGGCTCTCCTCCTCTCCCTCTGCTCTCCTCCCCACCACGTGCGTACATGCTCTCTCTCAAAATCAATCAACCAATCTTTAACAGCTGAATGAATCCTAAAAGCAGAAAAAAATAAATCCACACCCAGATACACCATAGTAAAACTGCAGGAAACCCAAAGCAAAAAGAACAAAATTTTAAAGCAGCCAACTATCTACAAAGGAGTGACAGACTTGGCAGGAGCAATGGAAGGTAAAAGGCAGCAGAAAGATGGAATGAACATGCTGAAAGAAAGTAACTTCAAACCTAGAATTCTATGCCCAATAAAAATACCCACCTAGAGGGCGCCTGGGTGGCTCAGATGGTTGAGCAACTGCCTTCGGCTCAGGTCATGATCCCGGGGTCCTAGGATCGAGTCCCGCATCGGGCTCCCTGCTCAGCGGGGAGCCTGCTTCTCCCTCTGCTTCTCTGTCTCTCATGAATAAATAAAATCTTAAAAAAAACAACAACAACCCACCTAGAATAAAGAAAGGCAAAAGAAAGACTGTTTCAGATCAACAGGAATGGGACAGTTGCCCACTAACAGACCAACACAAAAGCAAACTCTGAAGCAGATTAGGCAAACTTCTGTAAAAAGCCAGATAGTAAATATTTCAGTCTTGCTGGCCATACAGTATCTGTCACACCCACTCAACAATGCTATGGTAGTGCAAAAGCAACCAGAGACAATAGTAAATGAATGAGCCTGGCGGTATTCCAACAAAACTATTCAGAAAAACGGGCAGTGGGCTGGATTTGGCCTGTGGACTGTAGATTGCTGACTCCTGTCCTAAAGTTTAAACTTCAGACAAAAGGGAAATGATCCCAGATGGAAAGGCACAGATTCCAGAAGGAATGAAGAGGAAAAAAAAAAAAGTGGAAAATAAATGAACAGTATATGAAGCTTGATTTAAAAAAACATAGAACTAAAACATGGTAACAAGGGTATATAACTTCAGGAGAGGTTAAATGGAGTTAGTTTTCTAGGTTCTTTGTATTATCTGGGGGAAGTGAAAAGGTATTAAGAATGCCTGTTATAACTTTTAGGGTATCTACTATAAGAATAAAAATAAAACTTCCCAACTACTAGAAGGGGAAAAAATGGAATGATTAGAAAGCAGGCAGGAAAGGAGAGAAAATTGAATAGATAAGACAAATAGACAAAATAAGAACTTTAAGCCCAAACATGAGTAATTATATGAATATAAATGAATAAATGCTTCAATTAAAAGACAGTGAATATCAGATTATGAAATAAAAAAAAACTATATGCTGTTTTTAAGAGAGCCATTTAAAATGTAAGCAACCAGAAAGGTAGGAAGGAAAAAACTAAATTCTTTTCATTAACAATTAATTACTCAACATGTTAGTCCACTTCCCTCCTAAGGATATTGTTCCTCAGAAGATCATACTGTATATATGTATATATAATATGCCTCCCTCTAGGACAGAATAATTTGTACACTTTCCTCTTACTGTAAATTGTTTGAAGTTGTTGGAATTTTGAGTTCTTTGAATAATTGGAGGGAACCTATTTTGTCAGCTACAAAAGACAATATAATTTAAAAAATTTTATTGGCTCAATATGCATTTTAGTTTTTTTTTTTTTCCCCAGTAATCTCTAACCTAATGTGGGGCTTGAACTCACAACCCCGAGATCAAGAATCACATACTCTACTGACTGAGCCTGCCAGGTACCCCCTGGCCCAATGTGCATTTAAAGGGATCTCAGGACTATTATTATTTTATGTTTTTTACTAATCTTGCTAATAGACTTTAAGTTCCAGGGTGATGCACATAAATTTTTAACGAAAAACTTTTACCATTACTTCTTCTCCAAGTATCTAGGAAGTACCTATGTCTCATTTTAAGGAATTAATATTTTACAAAAAAAGTCAAAATATCAAGCTCGGCATTTTCTGTTAGCTTATTTAGTCCTCACAACAATGCTACAAGGTATGTGTGTTTAGAATCATAAACATGAGATAAAGAAATAAATTACTGAAGGTCCCAGTTAGCAATCAGTCGACTAAGATTTTGAACCCAAGGTGATGGCAAGCTATGAATACACAGGCTTTCTTTCCCACTGTCAATGCTGCTGATACACTGAAAAGGCCTTATTCTTCAAACTTATCTTTTAAACAGGAAAAAAGAAACTTTCTACAAGATCACCTTTCCTTTCTGAGAATACTGCTTAATTTTTATAGTTCCACATTTATACTAACAGCTTCCCGTTAAAAATAATGATAATCAATCCGAATGGGTTAGGTCATCTGTTTCTTAGTGTAATAATTTCGGGTGGTATTTCCTGAACTTGATTTATCCTAATTCGGGGGGGGGGGGTCTTTAGCCTCTATGCACAGATAAAGGGAAATGACCCAGATGTCAGATCTCCAGGGCTCCTTTTGTAGAAGGTCAAGGCAGCAGTGGGGAAAGGTTGAGCGTACAATATTCTGGGTGGGCCCCTGGAAACGAGTTAATCGGCCAGTGAATAATCCAATACACCCGTATCAGTTACTAAGACTGCTAACCTCAGTCGAACCGAGGGGTAAGGTCTCCACTTACTTTCAACTCGGGGTAACCCTCTGGCACATTTGCTAATTTGGGTCTGGTTCGCCAGCACAGCGTGCCGCCCAGCCCTTGCCCACTTTCAGCTGGTAGCGTGAGGTTTGGCGCCTCGGGCGGATCCGGCTCGAGGGTCGTTTAATAACCCGAGTCTCGCGAGATCTGGGGAAAAGGGGCGGGAGAAGCTCGCGTGCACGCGCCCGAGAGCCGTTAGGGTGGAACCTCTCCCGGGCGGGGCGGGTGGAGCAAATACAGTTGGACGCCAGTTGGTGGAGCCCCCGCGGGAAACAACTAAGCGCGAGGAGCGTGCGCGCTCACGTCGCGGCGACGGTGGCGGCGAGCGGCGTCAGAGCTTGAAGGGGGGGCTGACGGCCTCTGGCGGGTGGCGGTGTTGGAGGCGACAGCTTGCTTAGCCCGTAACGCTTCTGTCCCAAGACCCGACGGAAAGTGAGGGAACAAGGGTTGCTTTCGGGGGCTGCTGCCTTCTACTTACGCATCGTCGTGAGGAGCGCAGCCCGGACTCTCCTACAAGCCCTCCGGCTCCCTTTCCACACGCCTTACGGCGGCGGCGGCGGCGGCGGCAACTGAGACAGCGTCTCACCTTCCCCCACCCCTTCCCCTGTCCCCCCCGCCCAAAAGGGCCCGGTCTGCGCCCCACCCCCGCCCGCTCGCTACGCCGCCGCCATGTCGGCGCAGGCCCAGATGCGCGCAATGCTGGACCAGTTGATGGGCACCTCCCGGGACGGTAAGTGTCTGCCAGTGCCCTGGGGGTGGGGGAGGGGAAGGGGAAAGCGAGGGGAAGGGGCTCCGCGGGCGTACCTGGGCTTGCGTGTGTGGCTGAGTAAGGGGCTCCCAGATTGGTAACACGAGGTCCCGGCTCCCGTCCCATCCAATCAGGGCTGGGCAGGCGGGCTTGGGGGGCGGTGACCGAGCGGATTGGCGGGAACTGCTGCCAATGGGGTCAGGCGGGGCCTGGAGGTAGAAAGGAGAGTTTGAGATTCAATGTTGACTTGTCTGGGACGGGAGAGCCCATGTCTCTCGGCGTAGTCGGTCATCCCGTTTTGTGGCTGATTAGGTACCGGTGGACCGCTAAGGCCTCCGTCCCCTGAACTAATTCCTTAACCCAGAGCTTTGGGATCGTCCCTCGCCGCCGCCCTCCAGAGCATCCAGAGAGAACTGCCCCCCCTCCGCCCCCCGCCCCTTACCTGGTTCTGGAGAAAACCTTCACTATGAACCCAGTCCCAGAAGCCCACTCTCGATCCCCACAGAAACAATCCTTCTTATGGAAAAATCTGACCCAAACCATGGTTTCTTGAAGTGGGTGTGTTTGGCCCCATTTTGTGAAAAGAAAAATGTTATGGCCTGTTTTTTCCGAGAGACCTCCATTTTGTTAGAGAATTTAATAGAAGCTTTGTTCAGTAAATATTGACAAGTCTTGCATGTGCCCCAAATAGAACCATTTTGAAAATGTGGTGCCCAGTGAAGTAGAATTGAGAGAAACAACAATCCTTTTAGGCGCTGAGGATAGAGTTTGTGTAGAAAATTACTAATTGCGGATCTTTTTTGTCGTAAAGAGAATTCCTAAATGCAAAGATGAAATGCTGTTGCTTTTTTGGTGATGATAATGTATTATCAAATTGAGCTCAAATCCATGCTAATATGGAGGAAAGGTCTAGTTCAGTACTTTCTCTCTTAAAAGCAAAAACACTTGCTTATTTTTATATGTTGCTTGTTTAGGCAGATCGTTTCTTAGCCATTAAAGAAATGCTTTTTTCTTGAAAAGTTACTTAAATTGCTTGACGTAAGAGAAAAGGCACACTTATATTTTTAACAGTTGCTCTTGTAATTTTCTTGAATACTTTGCAGCAAAATATGTGAGTAGGTTAAAAAATGTGTATTGAATTCAGATATTTTTCGCAGTGCATACAGAGAATGGCTTTTCAGAGTTCACAGTTTAGTTTTAATAAAAACCCGAATTGGGAACTTGTCTTCATAGGACACATAGACAAATAGGTGGAGGTGGTAAACCTACTTGTGCTTGTGTAGAGAGGAGGGGAAGATTGGGAAAGAAATGAATTTTGTGTAGTAAACCCTTGCAAGTTAACGTTAATTAAAAATGCCCCTGCAGAAACTTTTACCTGTTCATTTTTCATTGTTAGATAAGAGTGGTTATTTTATAACTGCAGCATGTCTTAACATTGCTCCTTTTCCATAATGACGGTATTGGGAAGGGACCTAATTCAGGATTTTAGCTGACAGAATAACTAATTTTTGAAGTAAAAGTATGGAAATCATGTAAGATTTTACGTGAACTTTTTAATCCTAGATGGATACCATTTTTGGTACCTTCTACATGGATTGAATTTTCTAATTTTACTGGGAGGGTAGTTGGATCAAAGTAACTGCTATCACCTGATATCACCTGATAAGTTTCCAAACGAGGTAGCCAATCTAGTATTGTAAAGCTACATTAAAATATATATATAAATATATATTCCTGTGTGTGTAGTTAGCAGAAACATGGATTTCTTAAAATCCATTCTGCTTTGTATACAAATAAATTTCCATTTTTTATGTGTATGTTACCGGATTTTTTTTGCCTCCAGACAAAGAGGATTTACCAATGAACTCATGTTAACGAGTCCACGATATTATTTAGCTGAAATGACTGGATTTTCACTGCTGTGTTGGGCCAGAAGTAAGAAACACTACTTTCAAGGAAAAGAAAAGATACCCATATTAGTTCTTTTATGTATACAAGACAAGAATCAGAACATTCTTTTCCTTACCAGATAATGAGTTTACATATTTCATCTTATGATTCAGGACCTTTAAATAATTAGGATTGTTCTTTTTTAGCATACATTCAACTTCAAGGTATCCAGGGGTAGGGGAATATGGATACGTTCCTGAATAACACCATATACTTTAAAACCATATAATGGAAAGCTTTGTATTGGACAAAGGAACAGCTTACAGGGAATGCTGTTGGGTGTCTTTGGCACTAAGAGGTGGAAATGGGGATCCAAGAGGTGGGAGAGAGATGGAAAAGGTAGGTAGGGGAGGGTGTGTTTAAGGTAGCTCTGCGCCCCCCCACTTTTTTTTTTTTTTTTTTTATTAAATCATCCCAGAGACTGACTATAAAACAACTGTTGTCCTCTGGGATAGTGGGATTCAAGGTTGCCATAACCCCTCCTCAAGCCTTAGTGTCCTGTCTCTGAGGGAATCTGAAGTGGCACAGGAAGCCTAGGGCACTGGGAAAACTTTGTTTTCCTTTCACCTCCCCCTCTCCTCCACCAATAAAAATATTTATTCCTTCTTCCCCGTCCCAACTCAGTTTTTAATTAGTTCCTTTTTAAACTCCTTGGAGACGTAAGTCTATTAAAAGTACCTTATTTTGAGTTACTTAATTCAGTTAATTATATGGATTACCTAAGCTTTATTGAAATTCTCAGACATGGGAATTGTAGTGTCAAGGAAGTGGAAAGGTAATTTTGGCTCCCTGGGCACTCCCAGAAAGGACAGTCTCGGGTGAGTGGTGGAAGTGGGGGGCTTTGGACAACCAGAGGGCAGCATGATGGTGCTGGGAGGCTGGGCAGGGGGATGACCAGGAGGTGGGAGAGGAATGCATAAGGGTGGTGGGAGGGCCAAAGACAAACTTTGCCTTCTTTGCAATTTTGCCTAGGGCCCTGGTGGTGGCAACCGCCTGTGTGCCACTGAAAATCGTGCCGATGCCTGGCATACTGCATAAATGGAAGCAGGGTACCGCGTGAGTTGAAACATTGGTCACACTATATAAAGTTTGTATATGTGAATCAGTGTAACTCATACCCATGTAACTGGGGGTCTGACTGTATTTGGATTTTTCTGATAAGGCATCATGGGCTAAGGAAAAGAGCTCTGGGCTGAGACTCAGGAGACCTGGTTTCTAGCCCCAGCTGTACCTCTAATTGTAACCTTGGGTAAGTCACTTAACCTTTTTTGCCTCAAGTTAAATCAATAATCTGTTAAGTGGGAAACCAAATAATTTCCTATGTTACACTCAAAAAATGTTGAAAAATAAGTATATTTTAAGTTTTTTTAGGAGAGAGAAACCATAAGTAGATATAAATTAGTATGTTAATTTATCTGAAGTTTGAGGTAAATTAAATGTTATAAGTACCTTTCTGTTGTAGTTGTTAGCATTAATAGAAGGAAGAGGGATAAATTTTTTCCCGAACATAGTCCATTTGAAAGGGAGGAGCAGTAAAGTAAAATTCAAGCAGCAATTTGAGAATTGTCTATGTGACAGTTGGAGGAACTCAGTGTCCTTGCGCAGACTGTAGTTATTTTTTCTGAGTTGGGTTAATTGCAAAGATGTCCCTTAGCTAAAGCTCTTTTGCCAGCAAATAGAATATGGTTATAAGCCTCTGGTCCTGACCCCTAAAAGGCCTGGCAAGGTGCAAGGGATAGGAATTAAAATGGAGGGTATGAATTTAGATTATATCCTAAGTTTAGAAACCAGGGAATTTACAGAAGTAGTTTTAAGGACTCCATATTTTTTAATTACTTACAACCTTTAAATGGCAGACATCATCTCTGAAAGGTTAAAACAGGCCGGGAATGGCAGTCACCTCCTACATACCCCCTCCCCCCACTTCGTGCCCCAAATGACCAGTGGACTAATAGAATGTAGAATATAGAATAGAATTTTATTGCATCATTAGTTGCCCATTATGGTTAGGAAATGTCTAGGGCAAGTTAAAGCTTTCAGATAATTGTGCCTATTTTTGAGGGTAATCTTTCTAAATACACAATGATGTACTTCCTTAGCTAATAGAGTATATTTAGTTCTAATTTACTATTTTTGGTGATCAGTTACATTGTGGGGTAGTTTTATAGAACGTAAAATTAAAAGGGTGTACTACTCATCCTACGAGGTAACCAGGAAAATAGAGTTCAGAAAATCATTTACTTGTTCCTAATACAAATTTAGTGATACATAACTGTTGAACCTGTAGGATGGTGTGACATTGCTGCCTTTCTGCAAAATAAATCATTGAATCAAAGAAATAGTGTTTTCTTCAGTGGATTTTCTTCATAAAGTCATCTTTAATCTGTGTTCCTTGACTTGTCATCAACATTGAGAGCACTTTTTTTTTTAATTTTTCTCATTAGCATAATGAGCCATATTTATTTCTTGGTCAGTTGTAAGCCATTCTATTCCACTTGGATTGTTCATTTTAAGTGAAGGAGGCATAGCCTTTAATGTACAAGCACACATTTTTAAAAATGATAATGGGTATATCTTACTTCAGAGCTTGTAAATTCTTTTAACAAGAAATTTTGGTGAAAATAAGGTTAAATGGTAGTTAAACATCAGGCTAAATAAGAGTCGTAGTGAATATTTGACTTCATCAGAGGTTCGGGCATATCAAAACACTGAAAGCTCTGTTAACTTCCATATGGTGAATCTTTTTTTAAACAAACTTTAACTCATTTTGCATTTTGAACTCTGAATCTGAATTCAGTCTGCAAAACAGCCCAGAAAACAGTAATAGTATCATTTCATATAATCTTGTTTTGTCCTTGGATTCTCTACAGTTGTTTAGCTTTCCTCAGGGAAGCCTATGCTTGTGAGATATTCTTTTACTTTGGGTAAAGAAATAAATTGAAACCAAAGAAAAATCATTTTGTCTATCACTGCATAAGCTCTATAAGCAGCAAATAAGTGCTTTGATTTGGATAAGATGTCACATAAGGAAA